TGCTATTGGTGAGCCACCAAGATCCCGAACTCACCCACTGCACTCCAGCCTGCTTGCAGTCCGTTGGAATACAAGGGAGCGGGAACGCACCTGCTTGCCGCGAAGGGGAGGGAGAAGCAAACCAATAAAGTCTCTAATCGGTGCATCCACTCATGTAAATACGCATATCTATGAAAGAGGCCAAAGAGAGGCAGAGAAGGAAATGTGAGCAAAAAAGCACGCCACCAAAGACATAATGGTTGTTGCAGTTTATAAAAATCAGGAAGATAATTATATGTAGACTATTATTTCGATTAAACTCGCATCGGCCTATATACGATATATGAGTGTAAATATAATGTCTCTCTCTCTCTAGGAATAATCTATTTTTATTCACTGTTTGTTATGACGTGTAGAGTAGGACTCAATCTCTTGTCAGTGCACGGAAGTGTACGAATGTGCATAACTCAGGTGTTTGAGGCTAGCAAATTCAAGAGAGCTCGTAATATGCCCTAATCCACAACTTATCTTTACCTGCTCTCTCACTGGGGTAGACGATCGCTCTTGGGGCTTCAGCTAGGAATTTTAGATAGAATTTGGGTTTGGACTATTCTGGGTTTAGACTGGTCGTCACAGATTGGGCTAAGCTCCTTCAAGGGGCTCTGGCAGGTTTCTGTTTAAACAGTGTTCTAGATTAAGAGGGCTTATAGGATTCCCAACCAGGTAATGCACTAGGGTAGGGTCACTGTTTAAAAGAGTCCATGGAGAATTCCCAAGGGTCACTGCCAGGGACAGTGGATTTAGGCAAGAGAGAAGGGTCTGTGTGCTCACTGCGAAAGCCCGCCATCTCGCCCGGCTAGTTTTTTGTATTTTTTAGTAGAGACGGGGTTTCACCATGTTCGCCAGGATGGTCTCGATCTTCTGACCTCGTGATCCACCCGTCTCGGCCTCCCAAAGTGCTGGGATTACAGGCTTGAGCCACCGCGCCCGGCCACTGGAGCAACTTGATATGCATATGGGGGAAAAAAAAAAAATCTTGGCTGGGCACAGTGGCTGACACCTGTAATCCCAGCACTTTGGGAGGCCAAGGTGGGCAGATTACTTGATGCCAGGAGTTCGAGACCAGCCTGGGCAACATAGGGAAACCCTATCTCTACAAAAATACAAAAATTTGGCCAGGCATAGTGGTGTGTGTCTGTAGTCCCAGCTACTCAGTTGGCTGAGGAGTGAGGATTACTTGAGCCTGAGAGGTGGAGGTTGCAGTGAGCCGTGATTGCTCTACTGCACTCCAGCCTGGGTGACAAGACTCTGAAAGAAAAATGAAAGGAACATCTAAAGTTTTAAAAGTGTAAGCACGCTACTGGCCAAACAAAATGAATATTGGAGCTAGACTTGGTTCATGGACTGTCAGTCTGTAACCCCTTGTTTAGCTTAATAAGTCTCAAGCTTTTGGTTTGTGGACATTAGTGTAGTACTTATTCACACTGGCTACTGCAGGAAGAAAGTAAAACAAAACCCCCAAACATATAGACAAAGAGAATATTAAGGAGAACGTGTAAGGATTAGGTGAAGAGTGCTGAGGCAGTAGAGAAGGAAGGCATAAGAAGGAAGAAAACAATAGGGAAAAGGGGGAAGGAAGAAAACATAATACCAAGAAGTGGGGAAGAGAAGAGAAAGGTGGAAGAGAGGGAAAGTTACAAAGGAATAAAGGGGAGAAAAGGAAAAAACATTTATTGAGCTCATCTTATGTGCCAGCCTCTGTGCTGAGTACTTTAACACCTTTTGTTCATTTAATAATCACACCTTTAAAAGATAATTATTATTCTGATTTTCAGAAAAATGAAATAAATTGCTCAGTGGGTAAATAAATGAAGGATCTAGCAGTCAGTTCAACTCCAAAATCCTGTCCTTTCTACTATAGCACATTGAAATGGGGCTCAGGGTAGACATGCAAAGATGCTGATAGAGAAAAGCGGTTGATGGGATCACTTGAGGTCAGGAGTTTGAGACCAGCATGGCCAACACGGTGAAACTCTGTGTCTACTAAAAATAGAAAAATTAACCAGGCGTGGTGGCAGGCACCTGTAATGCCAGCTACTCAGGAAGCTAAGGCAGGAGAATTGTTTGTACCTGGGAGGCAGAGGTTGCAGTGAGCCGAGATCGTGCCACTGCACTCCAGCCTCGTCAACAAACCAAGACTCCATCTCAAAAAAAAAAAAAAAAAAAAAAAGCGGGTGATTTTTGCTGCTTCCCTGACAGGCTATATACAGCTCCCTTCAGCCTCTCCCCCAAACCATAGGTGCCCAAACAATGAGGCCAGTGTTGGAACCCCTGGCCAGTTAGACGATGAGCTGGAGGGGAGGCAGCATTTAGCCAGCAGGCTTGAGACAATCGGTGTACTTAGGGTCTCCTGGCTAGCAGGCCCAGTGGGGTCTCCAAAGCCCTTCTGTATCCTCAGTGGTCCTTAAACTCTGAAGATCCCCCCAGTTGTGTTTACTTAAGCCAGAAGGCTGGGCAATCTCTACATCCTTTCTCCATCGATCATTCTATGATTATTTTGTTAGAGAATTATTATTGTTCAGAGTACCAGATCTTAGTTGCATTCCACAGATAATAAGTTCGGCTCCAGGCTGGGCATGGTGGCTCACACCTGTAATCCCAGCACTTTGAGAGGCCAAGGCGGGTGGATCACTTGAGGCCAGGGGTTTGAGACCAGCCTGGCCAACATGGTGAAAGCCCATCTTTACTAAAAATACAAAAATTAGCAGGGTGTGGTGGCGGGCACCTGTCATCCAAGCTGCTTGACAGGCTGAGGCAGGAAAATCACTTGATCCCAGGAGGCAGAGGTGCAGTGAGCCAAGATCGTGCCACTGCACTCCAGCCTGGGCAACAGAGTGAGACCCTGTCTCAAAATAAATAAGTAAATAAATAAGTAAATAAATAAATAAGTTCAGCTCCAAATTGGGGAAATGTGGGGTCCACAGAAAGAAGTGGTTATCATTACTAGGGGAATAGGGCCCTTTTACTGAGAAAGGAACAGATACACCCTCATCAGCACAGAGGCACCAACACAGAAAGGAAAAAACAGAGAGTCTTAGAGAAAGAGACAGAGGCAGGGTACCCAGAGTCAGGGACAGAGTACACAGACCCAGGGAAGCAGACAGAGGCACATAGAGGATAGATTCTGATTTGGTCAGATGGAGTCAGAGCAATGCCTGGACACAGAGAGACCCAGCAGCTGGCAGAACAGAGGAGACATGGAATAGAACGGTGGCTAGACAGGCGAGGGGCAGGAGAGGAGGAGCAAGGCAGGGCCCTTCATGGGGATCTGTCTGTCCATACCAGCCGCGAAGGGTAGCCACCCTGGTGCTGCAGTCCCAGAAAGGTGTCCAGTTCTTCTTGGTTCTGCAAGTAGGGGGCCTCCTCGGGGCCTGGGCATCCCGATGCTCCCAGTCTCCTCCTGAAACACACATTGCCACCACTACTGTCTGTATCCAGTGGCCAGTGACGGGCACCAGGGAGGAACACTGCCTCGCCTCAGCCCAGCCCTATTGCTTGCCCCCAGCCCAGCCCTTCCTGTTGGCATAGGCACAACATAGACCCAAACTGGTCCCACTTTGGGGCTCTGCTTTGCCAGGGCTGCAGAGTTGGCTGTGAGCAAGAGTGGCCCCTGCTGGTCAAAGGGCAGTACTGCCTCCAGAAGAAAGCCAGGGTTCAAGGGAAGGCGAACAGCAAGAGCAAGCTGAATTCTCCCTCCTTGCCTGGTTGCTGATGCCAACCTTTGCCCCTGCTCAGCCAAATAGTGCACTCAGGACTCCCTTCCCTCTCTAACCAAGGGGCAGAATTAATACCTGACTCTGAAAGGTGGGTGACACTTGAAAGACCCTGAGATACAGTTGGTGCCACATAGGGGGGCCCAGGCATTTGGGCATCTCTCTTCCAGCCAGCTACCCTTAGGAAGGTGCCATGAGCCCTGCAGGCATTGCTTCTCATCTGAGTTCCCACCCAAGCCAGTTCAGGGACAAGGCCCAGGGTCCTCTCCCCTCACTCAAACCAGCCAGCCCTGCCCAGGAGCTAGGGAAGGTTGGTCCACTCACCAGAGCTAAAAGAACTTGTTCAAAGGGACCATTTTCAAAGCAGAAAGACAGTGCCCTTCCATGGTCAGCAGCCCCTACAATGTTCACTCACACTGAACTCTTCATGCTGACCCCCGGACCTTCTCTTTCTGACTTCCTCTGACTTTGGGGAAGTGGTCAGGGGTTTTCCACGGGAGGGGGAAGAGATGATTTTTCTGCTCCAGTCCACCAAGTATATGCAGAAGTCTGAGCAAGAACAACTGATCTCACGTGGCAATGCGGGACCATGAGTTAATCTAAGGCATCCTGGGTTGTCCTCAGCTTGCAACCAAAAGCCCGGCAAGGACCTGGCAATGGGGCAGGCCCAATGTCCCACCCTGTGACCACCTCTCTCAAGAAATCTCTGAAAGTTCACGGCTAGGCGTGTGGCTCACCCCTGTAATCACACCACTTTGGCAGGCCACCACTTCGTGGGCGGATCACAAGGTCAAGTGATTGAGACCATCCTGGCCAACATGGTGAAACTCCGTCTCTAATAAAAATACAAAAATTAGCTGGGCATGGTGGCACGCACCTTTAGCCCCAGCTACTCAGGAGGCTGAGGCAGGAAAGCTGCTTGAATCCGGGAGGCGGAGGTTGCAGTGAGCCGAGATCGCGCCACTGCACTCCAGCCTGCCAATAGAGCCAGACTCCGTCTCAAAAAAAAAAAAAAATCTCTGAAAGTTCTTTGGGCCTCAGTTTCCTTATCTGTAAAATGAGGAGATCGTGCCATATGCTCTCTGAGTTCCTTATGTGGTTCTATGACACCATTATGTGGTTCTATGAAACCCACCGTAGGAGGTGGAAGCAAGAAGATCCAGTGTCCTGATACTCACCCTGACTCCACACCTCCCACCCACGACTACCCTCAGTCTGCCCTGAGAGAAGGAGATAAGAGCCACTGGGGAGAGGCATATTTTGGAAGGCAGCATCCATCCTCCCCAAAGGCCCACCAGTGGGATTGAGCTCCGGTTCTCCAGGGAAAGGACTGGGGGCCCAGGTCTCCTCGACTCCTGTCGTTCTTCGGATGGTTGTCTCTTGAGGGAGGTAACTAGAGAGTTACCTAGTTCTTTCTCACTTTCCCATTTTCTCCAAGGTCTAGGCCTGGAGGGAAGGAGGTACAGGAGGTTCCCTGGGGGCTTACCTAGTCAGTGGGTCCTCGAGCTCCCTGCCAGGCCCCCAACTATGTCTTTTGAAGACGTCATAGTTGCGGCCATGGGCCCGGAAAGCCCCCGACCTTCGGAGGGGTACAGCATGCGCGCCATTCCCCTCCTTTATTTCCCCCGCCTCTTCTTCCTCCAGTTGCTCTCTGGATTCAACTGCAGAAAGACAGCGGCGAGTGTGGCCTCGGGGTACCTGGTCTCCACCTGCGAGGAACACGTCTGGGACGGCTCTGTTCATGGGAGACACACGCAGACCAGTCTGCATCAGCAAGAAAGAAAAGGGTGAGCAGGGTTCTAGAACTCTGGAACCTTGGAAATAGAAGTGTGTCACAGTCAGCTGGGCTTCGGAGTGCCTAGCCACCCCTCACTTTACTAAGACACAGAACTGGAGAATGTGTGGCTCAGGGTCACATTGTGAATTAGCTGCAGAGTCAAGGCTAGAACTTAGGTTTTCTGGATCCCAGTTCAGTGTCCTTTCTAGCACATAAAGAGAACCTCATTGTCTCATTCTTATTCCATTCACTGAGGATTTATATAGCAGAAAACCAAGCAAAGAGAAATAGATATTGTTCCTGTCCTCAAGGAATCAGAGTCTAGTGAGTGGGTGAGTGTGCATGTGTGTGCACAAGCAAAAGCACAAATCACAGATGACTCCATAACTGGCTCACATATGCCAAATGCCACAAGAGAAGTTTCAACAAAAGGCTTTGGGCTGTTAAACGAGTGAGGGCACATGACCAGGTGGGAGACTCAAAAAAGGCCAGGTGAGGTGGCTCACCCAGCACTTTGGGAGTCTGCGGCGGGTGGATCACTTGAGCCCAGCTGTTCTAGACCAGCCCGGGCAACATAACGAGACCCTATCTCCACAAGAAAACAAAATGCTAGCTGGGCGTGGTGGCATGTGCTTATAGTTCTAGGTACTTGGGAGGCTGAGGTGGGAGGATCACTTGAGCCCAGGAGTTCAAGACTGCAGTGAGCTATGATCACGCCACTGCACTCCAGCCTGGGTGACACAGTAAGACCTTGCTTGCTTTTGTTTTGTGTTGTTTTTTGAGACAGAGTTTCGCTCTTGTTGCTCAAGCTGGAGTACAATGGTGCGATCTCGGCTCACTGCAACCTCTGCCTCCTGGGTTCGAGCGATTCTATTGCCTCAGCCTCCTGAGTAGCTGGTATTACAGGCACGCCCCACCATGCCTGGATAATTTGTATTTTTAGTAGAAACAGGGTTTCACCATGTTAGCCAGGCTGATCTTGAACTCCCAGCCTCAGGTGATCCGTCCACCTCAGCCTCCCAAACCAAAGTGCTGGGATTACAGGCGTGAGTTACCTTGCCTGACCAGTCTTTTTTTTTTTTTTTTTTTTTGAGACAGAGTGTTGCTCTGTCGCCCAGGCCGGAGTGCAGTGGCGTGATCTCGGCTCACTGCAACCTCTGCCTCCTGGGTTCGAGCGATTCTATTGCCTCAGCCTCCTGAGTAGCTGGTATTACAGGCACGCCCCACCATGCCTGGATAATTTGTATTTTTAGTAGAAACAGGGTTTCACCATGTTAGCCAGGATGGTCTCAATCTCCTGACCTCGTGATCCGCCCGCCTTGGCCTCCCAAAGTGCTGGGATTACAGGGGTGAGCCACTGCACCCCGCCTGTTTTTGTTTTTAAAGGGGAGGAGGAAACAGAAGGAAGTAGATGGTCTTTGAGATGTGCCTGGAAGGGTAAAGTGGTTAGGATTTGGCCAGGGTAGAGGGAGAGGATTTTAGGCAGGTAAAGTAGCAGGGGGAGGCCGGGTGCGGTGGTTCACTCCTGTAATCCCAACACTTTGGGAGGATGAGGTGGGTGGATCACGAGGTCAGGAGTTCGAGACCAGCCTGGCCAATATGGCGAAATCCCGTCTCTACTAAAAATACAAAAATTAGCTGGGCATGGTAGCCAGCACCTATAATCCCAACTACTTGGGAGGCTGAGGCAGGAGAATCACTTGAACCTAGGAGGCGGAGGTTGCAGTGAGCCAAGATCATGCCATTGCACTCCAGCCTGCATGACAACAGCAAGACTCCATCTCAAAAAACAAACAAACAAACAAAACAAAGTAGAAAAAAGTAGCAGGGGGAAAAGGTTCATGAGTGATAAAGTTTTGTGATTTCTCCTCCTCCTCCTCCTCCTCCCCCTCCTCCTCCTCCTCCTCCTGATGGAGTTTCACTCTTGTTGCCCAGGACAGAGTGCAATGGGGTAATCTTGGCTCCCTGCAACCTCTGCCTCCCGGGTTCAAGCGATTCTCCTGCCTTAGCCTCCCGAGTAGCTGGGATTACAGGCACGCGCCACCAGGCCTGGCTAATTTTGTATGTTTTTAAGTAGAGATGGGGTTTCTCCATGTTGATCAGGCTGGTATCAAGCTTCTGACCTCAGGTGATCCGCCCGCCTCTGCCTCCCAAAGTGCTGGGATTACAGGTGTCAGCCACCACACCCGGCATGATTCCTTCTTCTAAGAGTCTGGTGATATGGAGAGTGAAAGCCAGTCTGACCTCTCCCCATGGTGCAGAGAGAAGGGCTCCAAGCATCAGTCACAGAGCACATATTTCCTCTACTCTATCCCAAAGGGCATTGTTCTCACTGCCCAACACTCCTGGTTGGCATCAGGGCTTGCCACAGTGTGTCTCAGACTTAAGAACCCTCAGGTGCTCTTAAAGTTGAAAATGATAAGCCCCACTCCAGAAAGAAGTGCCAAGTCCCAGAGTACCAGGGGCAGGAAGGGCAGGAAGGGAAACAGCATTTACCACATACCTCTGTACACTTCACTCCTAGGCCATGTCTCTCTAGACCTTCTGCTCTAATGAGTCTCCCAGGCTCCCTTTCTCCTGGCACCACTTCCAGCTACTAAGATGTCAGGAGTGCCCAGAAGGATCAGGAAGCCGGGACCCGGAACCTTCCCTCTTTCAAGGCTTTCTGTGGAGCTGTCAGACCTTCTCCAGGTTGTCTTAACCACTCCAGGGAAGTCCAGGTTATCAGTTACTGTACCTTCAATCTACTTTCCTCCCTCACTGTAATCTGTCCACTCTGCCCTCACCCCACCCAGAGCTGCTGAGAAGAAAGTGCTGTGCCACGGGCTGGGCGTAGTGGCTCACGCCTGTAATCCCAGCACTTTGGGAGGCCAAGGCAGGCAGATCATGAGGTCAGGAGTTCGAGACCAGCCTGACCAATATGGTGAAACCCTGTCTCTACTAAAAATACAAAAATTAGCCAGGCGTGGTGGCACATGCCTGTAGTCCCAGCTACTTGGGAGGCTGAGGCAGAAGAATCGCTTGAACTCAGGAGGCAGAGGTTGCAGTGAGCTGAGATCGCGCCATTGCACTCCAGCCTGGGCAACAGAGCAAGACTCCATTTCAAAAAAAAAAAAAAAAAGGAAAAAAAGAAAGTGCTGGTTGGGCACAGTTGCTCACGCCTGTAATCCCAGCACTTTGGCAGGCCGAGGCAGGCGGATCACAAGGTCAGGAGATCGAGACCATCCTGGCTAACATGGTGAAACCCTGTCTCTACTAAAATTATAAAAACAAAAATTAGCCGGGAACGGTGGCAGGCACCTGTGGTCCCAGCTACTCGGGAGGCTGAGGCAGGAGAATGGCATGGGCCTGGGAGGCGGAGCTTGCAGTGAGCCGAGATTGCGCCACTGCACTCCAGCCTGGGCGACAGAGCGAGACTCTATCTCAGAAAAAAAAAAAAGAAAAAGAAAGTGCTGTGCCTGGGGTGGCTGTGTGCCTGCTTACCACAGGAAAGGGAGGGAGGCAGGTGCTCAGGCCTCTGCAGACGACAATGCTGTTCCCCCATTGGGTAGGTGTCTAAGGAGAGAAAAGGAGAAGCCTAGGAGAGTGGCCACGGCCCTGTGCCCATCTGTGCTAATTATGTCTGGGAGCAATGGACAGGGAACCCATTAGCCAGCCACCAGGAGAGATCCTCTCCCTCCTTGCCTACAGAGGGGCCCTGTGCCATCAGGTATGTTGGGTGCAAACAGGATGAGCAGATCTATAGGAAGCAGGTCAGAGGCTGAGGGCCACGGCAGGGTCCCTCCCAACCAGTGGCCTCCAAAGCTGAGATGTGGAGGCAGAGGGAGGTTGACAAAAATATTGTGAAAAGCTGGGTGGAGAGAAGAGTAGGATCTGAAGATATGCTAGGAAAAGGGGAACAGGGGCTGGAAATAGGACAGAAACTGAGAGGCAGTGAGGGGGAGGCAGGGACACTGGGTGGATATTGTGAGCTCTGGAATTCAGGGACCTCCCAGAAGCAAAAAGTTGGTTTGAACTATACCCCCTGTACTCAACGTCTACCTGCTAGCCTTGTCTCAGTTATGCCCACAGGATTGAATTCTTTTTTTTTTTCGGAGAGAGGATCTCTCTCCCTCTGTCACCCTCAAGCCTCACTGCAGCCTCCACCTCCCAGGCTCAAGCAGTCCTCCCACATTAGCCTCCTGAGTAGCCAGGCCTACAGGTGCATGCCACCACATCCAGCTAATTTTTAAAGTTTTGTTTTGCTTTGTTTTAGATGGAGTTTCACTTTTGTTGCCAGGCTGGAGTGCAATGGCGCCACCTCAGCTCACTGCAACCTCCGCCTCCTGGGTTCAAGAGATTCTCCTGCCTCAGCCTCCAAAGTAGCTGGGACTACAGGCACGCACCACCACACCCAGCTAATTTTTGTATTTTTAGTAGAGACAAGGTTTCACCATGTTGCCTAGGCTGGTCTTGAACTCCTGACTTCAGGTGATGCACCTGCCTCGGCCTCCCAAAGTGCTGGGATTGCAAGTGTGAGCCACTACACCCGGTCTTAAATTTTTTACAGAGATGGGGTCTCACTAAGTTGCCCAGGATGGTCTCAAACTCCTGGGCCCAGGCGATCCTCCTGCCTCGGCCTCCCAAAGTGCTGGAATTACAGGTGCGAGCCACTGTGCCCAGCCTGCGTGGTTGAATTTGGCAAGACGAAGGAAGTGCAGTGAAGGAAGTGCAGTGAACCGGAGACCTTTGCTTTTCTTCAGTCCCTGTGGATGTTCCTGCTGGAGATGGTGTCCTGTCACCCTAGCCCCATTGACGGGTACCTCAGATCTCAAGATCTTTGTGAAACTTACCCTGGCCCCACTGACAGGTACCTCAGATCTTAAGATCTTTTTGTAACTCACCCTTCTTCCTCCAGCTCAGACCAAACCTCTTCTCAAAGATCTACCCTTTTTCCAGCATCTCTGTCATTTCATTCACAGTCTCTGCCCTCTGTGAAAATGGAATC